CAGTCCTGGCTGTCTTAGAACTCACTTTGTTGAGTTCCAGGTTGGCCTGGAACTCTCAAAGATCTGCTTGCTTCTACCTCCCAAGTGCAGGGATTAAAGGTGTGTGCCACCACTCTCCTGGACATAGGTATAGGGTATAGAAGGGCCCTCCTAGGTAAGGGACAGGTGTGTGTTGTGGGTTCTCCATGAGCAGGGATTTCCTCCAGGCATAGACTCAGTCTGCTGGAGAGGGTCAGCGCTGAGGCCGTAACCACCACCCTGCACCAAGTGACTCGGGAAAGGATGGAAGACCGCTGCCGGGGAGAGTATGAACGCTCCTTTCTTCGTGAGTTCCATAAGGTGAGACTTCTCCCTGGACTGTGTCCTGTCAAGGGCAAAAGTGGACTTTCTGCAGACCTGATTGCAAGAAGTAGGCAGGTTGACCAGGAGTAGTGATAGCTGAAGTTATCTTGGTGCTGTTTAGAGGCCAATCCTGGACCCTGGTGACAAGGACAAATCTGGTATGTACTAAATAGGCCTGTGCAGAATCCTATAGCTAGAAACAGAATCCTGGGCCAGAGGTGGTTCCAAGGGATTTCCCCAGACAGATATGGCAAGACAGGCCCACCAGACCCTTTTCTTTCCATTGCCCTATAAAATGTGTGCTCACTTAACAGTTCCTTCTGGATTAACCCACAGTCTGTACCCTAGCATGGAGTTAGGGTGTCTCAGTGAAGGCCTCTGGTTGCCGATAATATTGAGGTATGGTATGTAATTCTGCTATGGGGTTCCCAGCATTGTGGAAAAGCTAGGTTCAGCCCCATGAAGCTGTCCACCCTGTTTCTGCTTCACTCCTGACCTCCCATTTTTCAAGTATCTATCCCCTGTGGATGCCTGTTAGCCATGATGGGAAATGTTCAGAGTGGGTGTCCCCATAGTGATCATGAGCCTAGAGTCATGAGCCTGCAAGCTCTTGGGGCAGCCACATTGAGCCTTGGGCAGTGGAGTGCAGGTTTGGTGGCTCCTCTAGGGTCCTGTCAAAGGCATATGGCTACTGGGTCAGGCTGGATCATTTAAGTGTTATTACACCTCATACACTAATGATCTTCCACAGTGGATCGAGAGAGTGGTTGGTTGGCTTGGCAAAGTGTTTCTTCAGGACAACACTACCAGGCCAAGTTCTCCAGAAGCAGGGAACACACTGCGCCGTTGGCGCTGCCACGTACAGAGATTCTTCTACCGTATCTATGCCAGTCTGCGCATTGAGGAGCTTTTCAGCATCATCCGAGGTTGGTCCTGTCTCTTACCCTGCAGAACCTTCCTTTTCCAGAGATTTCCTATGCTTTACCTTCAGCTGTTGGCAAGGTGGTAAGTTGAGGAGAGCTGGACCTCCTGACATGACTCAGAGTCTAGAGCAGCACTGAGCAGGTGCTTCTAAGTATCTACTCTCAGTTTTTT